TTTCAGGGTGATTCCCTGCACGGAGACGAATTACAACCGTATCCTACGACGTTGCGCGAACAACATCGCCAGCAGTCGATACAGCAACCCTTCGCCGCGTATGAATCGGAGATGGTATATAATCTCGGCCAGCAAGGTCCGACACAAAATCCGTACGAGGTCGTGCCACAGTACCCAGCACGGCAGTCTGCAGCGATTGACGCCCTGTCCAGCCAATTTGCCGTTCCACAGTACTTTCCAACTAATGAGCCGATGGCAACAGGGGTCCCTGCAGAGGTTTCGCCCTACCTGAACCCGCACCTCTCTTCACCTGCTTATAACCAGCCCGGTCCCATTGGGCGCTCGAGCGCAATGCAGCCCTTTCCCGCAACCATGGCCGAGTTTACACCTGTGGGGACAACGGCGAGACGTTTGGAGCAACAAGAAACGTCTCAGCAGCAGCAACATCATTCACAGCAACAGCAGCAGCAGCATGTAATTGCAGATTCGACAAATTTGAATGAAGAATATGGTCGGTTTCAACGAGTCTTGCGGTCGACGTTCGATCACATTCGCGCCGGTCGATTGGTAGAGGCCGGGCGATCACTCTTGGAAATCTCCGAGTGGCTTGTCACTAATGCGCGGGAACTCGGTATGTCTCTTCCCTAGCGTTTGTTTGGATTCCCACTCATCACCTTATCCACCATCCTTCAAGAATCGTACCTTTTTATCGTTACACTGAATACAATAATACGTTCACAATGAATACATCATCTGTTTTTGTTGATCGCACTCTTGGCACACGCCAATGATACCTTCGAGCCTGCGTAGCGGGCATATGAAGATCAATTTTATGATGAGGCATTTTTAGTTGCTGACCTTTAACCAATCCTAGGCATTTTGAGCGACGATCCGATGTTCTATTCTGATCGATTACAATTATGGAATGACTTCAACATCTGCTGGTTGGCTGTCTGCCAAAGACAGAAAGATATGACACAGGAGGTGTTGCGTACCGGCCATCAACCGTCGAACACCTCAATGCTCAGTAGCGATCGTATGGACGATATGGGCAGAGAACTGATTCAACTATGCGATCAAATGGAACAGCATGGACTGGTGGACTATCAGATGGGCATTTGGGAGGAGGAGATACTCTGTGGTAAGAACCCTACATTAGTCGAGAAAGAAATCCTTTCCAAAAAATTTGGCGCAGCTTTCTGATTCGGCGACTCATCGCATAGTCCTCGGGGAATGTATCGATCTGATAGAAAGACGACCAGATAATATGCGGGCACATGGAGTGAACGCCGCCGCAGCCACCACTTCGCGGTCCTGAGTGATGGTCTCCGTCGAGTTCGAGCTCACTCTCCCGAATGGCGCAGTCATATTCTGCACTTCCGTGATTGTGCTCGCGTCCGGCCTAACGCAGGAACTAATTTAGTTCTCAAGGACGGATCCCACGAGTCCATACGCACACTCTATTGTTCATACCACCGTGTCGGACTATGGAGTACCACCGTATGGTCCGATCCTCACTTCTCAGTCCGCACTACGGAGCACTTTCCTTGAATCATGTGTCCATGACTGCATGTCTCTATTTCTTTACGAGTAGGGCGGAGAGTTAGGCCTTTTAATTCCCCGGCTCCATTGTCCGCAGGGCATGAAGACCTGAGAAGCTTCCCCCGCAGGGCTACCATAAGCCCTCCTGGGTAGGCATCTGCCATGAGAGGTCTCCCATCATCATTCTCATCTCCGGCGCTCTTGTTCCTGAGACATGAGACTGAAACCGCATATTACCCACTATCGTCTCATGTATCATTGATGCCTCCTTCAGGCAACATTCAATTTTGTATATATATATACCCCTCACGCGTGACCCTTTTCGTCGCATTTTCGGTGCAACCAGTGGGCGAGTCTTTCTGAGCGTATTCAGGATATATCACAGCTTTCTAGCGATAGAAATTCTTGAAACTTATTTCCCGTGCGGCCTACTCTGACCACTTCAACAGAACAAACCAGTAGGGGCGCGACCGGGTAACGCTGGGCCACACATCCAAATTCAATACAGCCGCCTGTAGCGCCGTGTGACGCCGGTGCAAGACTAGCAGGTCCCGGTTTCCAGGTTCGGAACCCGCAAGGCTATCAGCACCATTGTGATTTGTGAGAGAGCACAATGAGGGGGATCCGACTCCTTGGTCGCGGTCATCACCGGACTCCGATCATCCACGATCGCCGACCTGCACCTGATCGACCAATCGTGGCGCTTCTTCCTCCTCTTTGAGGATTGCCAAGTAGCCTCACTTTTTTCTTATAATGTCAGAGTGACCACCTGCCTGGCCCAGCTCCGCCGGAGGAAAGATGTGGGGGCGTATGACCATGACCAAGACGTAACCAAGACATGGCCGAGACATGACCAGGAAGACGTCGTCTCGACCACTGTCTACACGAATCTGGACAAGTCGAGCATTGCATTGATGCAATGCAATCTCTTAGACTTTAGGAGACGTGCAATTACTCTCACAATCCATGACTCCCATCATGATACCAAGAGTCTACCTCTACGAATTAGTTTCCGGAAAATCCATCAAACTCGAACTCAAGCCTTCTTGAAACCTAGAAATGCAACTAGGAGGGAAGGAAGCGTCCGAGGGGGCTTCCTGTTTCTCCAAATGAAAACACGACATGGTGATATCACTACGCTCGATTCCTCACATTTCGACTTCGGGGTGTTCTACAGATCGCGTCCCAACACCAAGGGTCGGGAGTCGCTCCCGGTTCCGCGGACGCTAGCCTACCGCTAACCACGTTACCATACCAAGGGGCTAAGGTATCTTGATGGATACTCTGTAGACTAGATCGAGACGTGATATCCCTTGGACGGATGGAAGGTGATGACTATGAGCTGCAGCTTAGATATTCATTATTCATCCCATAGCTAGATACACGCGACATATTTTGAGCCTTCATGAACAGGAATATGGTAAATCACTGGCACAGAGAGACTAAATTTACATGTATATATATTCCTTGCTGATATGTGTAGCTAACCTCGTAGGTACGTATATGGCTAAAAATTCCGCTTTATGTGGTGGCGTTACATTCTACAGGACGCGTAGTCGTAGATTATATGTATCCTGATGTGTTGACATTCTTGAGTCCCTTGCTATGTAATTTTTATGAATAGAAGAGACCTCCCGAGCAAAATAAGGTAACATGTGTTGACACCACCTCCATCGACGAAGGATAAATTTGGAATCAAAAATGTTTCTTATTTCCTCGTTGTTTATTTTCTCTGTAACGAAAGTATTCGTAGTTTGATGGTATGCACCGCCTATATATACTCGCAACCTATAAAGCCACACGCGTGAGGAAGATATATATTGGATGGTCATGGACTGTATATGTGCATGTCGTCGTGTCTGTGGTTCCTTCAAGGATGCCAGGATGTAAACTACAGAGGTCATTGATCATCGATGATCGTGAAAATTCATGTCAGAGCCAAAGAGGCAGAAAGGACCGGCAAGCGTTCAACGTTCGACCGCAGCAAGCAATAGACAAAAACAACAACGCCAGGTAGCAAGACTCGAATATACTCATGTGCAACACTTAGATTTGGCCTGTTCAAAACACCGGTCGGTCAGTCCTGCCCTGTCCTTTCCGGCGAACAACCCGCTAGAACATACTCAGTGTCATGCTCAAGCTGACATCGGTATTCTCCACCATCTCCGTGAACTCCTCGAAGCTGATCTTGCCGTCGTGGTCCTTATCAGCCTCCATGATCGTTTTATCCACGATCTGCTGCAGCTGCACGTCCTTCAAGTTATTGCCCACCATCATCTTCAGCACGATGAACAGCTCGCCGTTGGAGATGTAGCCGTCCCGGTCAATGTCGTAGACCTTGAACGCGAACCGGAGCTTCTCCTCTTTGTTGCCCTTGGAGCTGAAAGCCGACAGCCCCGACACGAACTCCTGGAAGTCGACATCGCCGCCACCGTCTTCGTCGAAGATCGCGATCATTCTGTGTATCGGTAAGCATATGGCCGATGCCCTGGTTTTCCTCCACGGTGCCACCATCTATCGCTTCTCTCACGTACCTCGTTGCGAGCGGGTTGGAGGACACTTGTGGGAGGGAAAGGAACTCGTCACGATCGATGGTGCCGGAGCTATCCTGCGACAGTTTAAGCTATATTATTCCCGTAATTCTTCACGTATTGATCGGACCTTGTCAAGTTTCATGAATCGCTTGCGAAGCCTGTCGACCTCATCTCTGTCGACTGTCGCTGATGATTAGATCGCGCCCTCAATCAAAGGTAGAGGATAAAACGCCGGGTCAAGACTGACAGTTTGAAGCCGAGACAATGTTGTCTAATAGCTGTGATGTCCCAACAGATGCTCTACGCCTGCGTGCATCATACATAGCGGCATTATTTGGTTCACTGGGTTGCTCCATGTCGGTTATTGGTCGTGTGTGATTGAGCGGTATGCGAAAGTGAAGATAAAAATCGTGGGGAAATTATGAATGAAATAAACTATGGATGTGCAGTAGAGGCTAGTGGAAAGTGCTTATTAACCTGGTTGTGATAATCAACAGGAACACAGCCAGTGGCGGATAACTTTGAGGAGTGATGGCGAGTGGGAAAGTCTATTCAGCTACCCACTGGTGCGGCTCCGGGATTCACATAGCTCATTACATGCCAAGGACATCACCCGTTCATCAACTTGATATCAGCCAGCCCCGCACTAGCCGGAAACGGAGAGGCAAGCGAACCCCTGAGGCCGTGCGCCGGCCTAAGACAGGCCACGTCTGGGTGACATTACAACGTCAACTCAACCGCCAGTGCCGATACTACGAGATTTCAGTCGTCAATATCTTCAACCATCCATCGATTTTTATCAAAAAAATACGACTACGCGCTTTCGCATGATCAGGCTTATCGATACATACTAATTTTGGGACCACTGTCCCATGGTCGTTGCCGCATTTGCGCCCCAAAGTTCGTATGACTAGATACGGGGGTATGGGGAGGACGCGCCCAAAAAAGCTCACCTCGAAGGCCTCAATCCCCATTGTCCGGGAACATGAGATCGATATCATCGACGATGAGGTCCAGAATGCCCTACAACAGGTGGAAACTGGTGTCGAGAAGGCTGAGGAGTCGGTCAGTGTTTTTCCCCGACTAATTTTTAGCCATCCCTGCATGTATCACGTGATCATATCACAACCTCACCTCTCAGTGAAAATTTTGTCGACCGATATATTGGGCTCCAATCAGCGTTTGCTAACGCTGTTTTCAATAGGAATTCCATCTTCAAGCTGCTATCAGCGCGACCGCCCAAGGAAAAGTAAACGAAGCTCACATTCCCACACCAGAGACCGTCCTCAGCAATCTTCGATATGACGAGCTCTATCCCCCCATCTTCTCGCAGCCGGCGACATACATCCGCTTCTCCTCAACTGTCGAGGACTGTTGCGGATGCCCGTATAACATGACCGAAGAGGACGATGTCTTCTTCAAGATCATGAACGAGAAGCGGGAGCCGTCGAACCGGATCACAGAGGATCAGTTCGAGGAGGTGATGTACTTCTTCGAGGAGACGGCACAGACGAAGCAACCATTTGCAGCTGTAGATAGCCCTCCTGTCCTGAGCTTCGCAGAGATGCAAGACTCGATGGATGCAACTGTAGAGGAGAGCGTCAAGCGTTTTGCAAAGGACATATATGAGCACTGGAAGTTGCGAAGGATTGCCGCTGGGAACCGCCCACTCCTACCGAGTCTCAAGGTGAGCAGACTTCGTCGCATGGTTACCAATTTCCCACGACTGACCCTGAGCAGTTCGAAACCGGTCAAGATACCGATGATACAGACCCGTATGTCTGCTTTCGTAGGCGTGAAGTCCGTCAGATTCGGAAGACCCGCGGCAGAGATGCCCAAAGTGCCGATAAACTGCGCAGGCTCAGAAAGGAGCTGGAAGATGCTCGACAGTTGGTTGCACTGGTGCGCCAGCGGGAGTTGGCAAGAAAAGAGATGCTCTCCATGGAGCGGCAGATTTTCCTGCAGCGTTCCGAGGTGAAGGAGATGAAGAGAAAACTCAACATCAAAGACGATGACGAGGATCTCATCAACCAGAAGGTAACGTCAATACCAGCGCGATTTCCTCATGCGTTTGCTAATTTGCTGGAGCAGCCAAAGAAGAAGCCTGCGGAGGCGCCAGCTGCACAACGGCCGACCGCTCCTCAGATCCGGATGCCACAGAAGCCCGGTACGCAGGCTGCGGACGACCTGCAACTGCTGGAAGATGTCCAGGCGGAGAAAGAAAACGAGATTCTGCGGGATATCAAGCAGAACATCGCGAAGCATATCAAGTGGAACGAGGGCTATGTGGATTTCACAAGAGCGCCTCTCTCACCACCTCCGGAGAAAACCTTCCGAGCCGCATTCCGCCCGGCAATCACCACCCAATTGCCAACTCCTCCTTCTTCAGATTCGTCCGACAATATGATGTTGGACTCTGCGTTAGATACTGCCAATTCCCTCTCCTTCCGAGATAAGCTAGTCCCTCGTACATGGGAGATGAACGAGGACACCAGCAGGATACCATCTTTCAGGAGGCGCATTGGGCGCGGCGGTCGGTTGATGATTGATCGTCGAAACCTGGTGTCGCGGTGTAGAATCGAGATGGATCCGCTGAAGGCTGATCGATTCAAGTATGATCGGGAGGATTCGGACGATGAATCAGAACTCGAATGTGATCCGTACGATGTCCAGATCATGCAACATCGTGCCATAATGGCTGCTAAAGCACGAGATCAAGCTGCTGCTGCCGCCCAAGCACATGCGCAGGCTCAAGCAGCGCAAGCGCAAGCACAGGCTCAAGCGCAGAAACGGTTGCAGGCCGAACAGACCACAACCAACAACGGGCCCCCGAACATGGGGCAGACAATGGGATCGAACCCCGGGCCTGGTGCCGTCGCCTCAACTTCGTGAGATATGAGCTGGGCTTTATTTCCTCTCTCTTCGTCGTGTCTTCTTTTTTTTAATTCCCCCCACTCATATCTTGCATTTGGCGGGCGTTTCTCGATCCTTTGTTCCCCTCTGCGTCGTCTTTTCACCTCAATACTCCTGTACTTGTACTTTTACCGCCCCTCCGCTACCTTGACCTCACGAGCCGCCACCTTTTTAACCTTGACTCCGAACCAACTATTTCGTCCCAAGGACGATAGTTGTGGATAACCCCCTGTTATCATGATATGACCCTGAAATTATGTGAATGTTAGTGTACATAGCCTGTTCTCTTTCCTCTTGACTTTTTTTCGAAACCTATCAGCCGATAGACTCGTGTACGGATAGCGGAGCTTGATGTCAGCAACGAAGAAAATAACAAAAGAAGAGACGAATGATCCCTTCCATCAAACCTAAGACGTAGCGGCACGTGTTCCGCATATGTCAATTCCTGGGAGCTTTCGTTCTCCTGGAATCTCCACTGTCGCTGTGGGCGCCTCGTTTGAGACCGGACCCTCCGTTGGACTGAGCGGAGTTCGTGATGAACTCCTCAAGCATGTTGGCCAGAGTTTGCAAGATATGTTTCTCACCCAGGCGAACCTGAATAGCCATCTTCTGCCGTCGGTCGAATTGGTCCAGGGGCTGAGATGCTTCAGACTGAATGAGCCGCGAAAGGATCTCCTCATCCTGGGCAACAGTTGTGGGGTACTGGCTGCCCATGAGCTGGATGGTCTTTAGCAGAATAGAAGCTTCGGCGTGCCCAAGGGACGGCTTGGGCGGTCTGCTCTTCGATTTTTGATGCTCCAATTGCTCTGGTGAGAGTGTGAGCGTCTTGAGCAACAAGAGAAGCTCATCCGGAAGGATGTCTGTAAGCGAGTCCTCGGGCGAGGGTCTGGGAATGACATATCCGTCATCGAGGAGTTCCAAATCTTCCAACAACGCGAGCTAGGGCACAAGTCAATTATCGAGCCGCGGAAAATGTTGAAACCCGGAAAATGGAGGAGGTGGTAGGTACCGGAGGATGACTTTCAATGTCCGCATTTTGAAGACCGGCAGACCGGCAGATTTGGTCAAGTGACAATTCGACCACATCGTACTGAGCGTAGTTGTCGGTTACATAGCCATAGCGCCTTAGAAGATCGGCACGGGGTAATTCTCCATAGTCGTTGAAAATCTCCTCACCAGCGTGGATGGGCTTGATGGCTTTCATGACCAAAGAATCCTCCTCTTGAAAGAGGCGTGCCTGCAGGAATTGAAAACAATGAGCACTGATATGGAACACAAGGAGTGAGTGTGCGGGAAAGGACACGCACATTATTTCGATCCGCATCCGCGTTGAGGATGTCTGCCAGCGGTACCATGCCTTTAGAAGACTGGTCCTGCTCATCATCGGTCACGTAACCGTCTTCTTCGTCATTGTCCTCATCGTATTCATCCTCTACCTTTTCAATATCAAATGCATAGGCCATAATGAGGGACCCCATGATATGAGCCAAGCCCAGAAGGGCCTGGGCACCGGCTTCACCGTCCCAGGAGGCTAGGCTCTCAACTGGCGGAAAGAGAGAAGGATTGGCCCTCACAACCGGTGCAATCATCTGCATGATCGAGTCTTCGGCACCCTCTTTCCCTATCTTGCTAACGATTGCACTGCCTTGCAGCTCCTGAAGTTCAGAAGGGGACCAGAACATCAGCGTGTCAAAGCTCTTGGGAAGAACCTTAAAGTACGGCGCCCAAGCAGATTGCTCTCCTAAGAGATATTCGTACATCATCACCAGAATCAGGGACAGCCATGGGCCTAGTTTCTCCAGATCCTGAGAGAGCAGATCCTTCAACTTCGAATTCTGCACCGACAGAACGAGTCCGCGGGGGATGGAGAAAAGCTCTTCGCCGTCGAAGATATCGGACCGAGCCACTGATGAGTGAAGATAAGTGATCAGATAGTGGTATTTTGAAGATGGTGCTTCGTTCTGGACAGAAAGAAAAACAACGGATCTAAAACCTTCGGATGGGTGGCCACATACCTACACCTCTCCCAGCAGATTTTGATCGTAGATCAGCGACATTGATTTTCGAATTGATTCTCACACCCGGATTTCCAGCTAGCCATGTGATAAACTCATCTGACTGACGCTGGAAGCTGTCGGAATCAGGAAAGTGGGCTGAGGACGACATTCTTTTACCGATGAAGAATGTTTGTGCCCCGTGTGGGTGAAGTAGTATGAAGGGACCCCTCAAGATGAGATACACACAGACGGTTTCGACAAGACAGAGGGGACGGATCGAGGAGATAGAGAGAGAAGTAACTCTCAGGAAGTCTCCAAGGCAATGGAGGGATATCACAAAAGCAATCCAACGTTGTGGGAGGGGAAATGAATGGAGTGGGTTCTCAGTGCTAGTGAGCTGGTAGTTGAGTAGCATTTAGCTTACCTTTATTGTATACCCCCGTCGTCGGATAAACGCTACCACCGTGTGTCAAGCCGCCCGTCCGCCAATAGATAGCGCCGCTGATTGAAAACGGGAAAAAAAGAAATAGCGAATGAAAGCCGAGATTACCCCTCTGCAGGCGAGCTCACCGTAACGAATGAGCCAACCTCTAATGGATGTGATGATTATCTCTTGAAATTTGAATCTTAGAATTGTCCGATATCAAGTTCTTTCCAGTCATGATTGCAATCGGACTCGAAGGCTCCGCCAACAAACTTGGGGTGGGCATTATGCTCCATCCCGAGGATGGCAGCACCCCGCGGGTCCTTGCTAATATTCGTCACACCTATGTCTCCCCTCCAGGTGAGGGGTTTCTTCCCAAAGATACTGCGCGGCATCATCGCTCTTGGGTAGTGAAGCTTGTAAAGAGAGCGCTCAGAGAAGCTCGTATCTCAGTGCGTGATGTGGACTGCATCTGCTTTACCAAGGGCCCTGGCATGGGTGCTCCGCTTCAGAGCGTCGCTGTGGCTGCCCGGACGCTGAGTCTATTATGGGGCAAAGAATTAGTTGGTGTGAACCATTGTGTTGGACGTATGTGTGACCATCGACGCTGTCCGCGGTCTCATACTTGAGACCTGAACATTCGACAGCCTCCCGACATTCCTACTAGAGAGCTAACCACTCGCTTAGATATTGAGATGGGCAGACTAATCACTGGCTCCACCAATCCTGTCGTTCTCTACGTCTCAGGAGGTAACACACAGGTGATTGCCTACAGTTCGCAAAGGTATCGGATCTTCGGCGAAACCCTCGATATCGCCGTGGGCAATTGCCTCGACAGATTCGCCCGAACATTGCACATCTCCAATGATCCTGCGCCAGGGTACAACATTGAGCAACTAGCGAAGAAGGGCACGCAGCTGGTCGATTTGCCGTACACAGTGAAGGGCATGGATTGCTCCTTTTCGGGAATCCTTGCCGCCATTGACGGATTGGCTGCATCCTACGGCTTGAACGGCGAAGAGAAAGAAGAAGAAGAAGGTGCAGGAGATGATTCTAGACCCACACGCGCAGACCTGTGCTTCTCGCTCCAGGAGACTGTGTTTTCCATGCTCGTTGAGATTACCGAGCGCGCTATGGCGCATGTGGGCTCCAAGGAAGTCCTCATAGTCGGCGGCGTCGGGTGCAATGAACGATTACAGGAGATGATGGGAATCATGGCTCGCGATCGCGGTGGTAGTGTCCATGCGACGGATGAGAGATTCTGTATTGACAATGGAATCATGATCGCGCAGGCAGGTTTGCTCGCGTACAAGACAGGTTTCCGCACTCCGCTGGAGGAGTCGACTTGTACGCAGCGGTTCCGAACAGACGACGTGTTTGTAAAATGGAGAGATTAATATGAGCACCAATAATGATGATGACACATACGGCTCGGTCTACAGACATAATCATTCGCCTTGTAATACTGGGAGCCGCCATTAGGGACCTCTGTGTATAGGAGAGCTTGATACTTCTATCTCGTCCAGAAGAGGCCTGCAATTGCTCAATGCTAAGAAAAAAAAATGTACATCGCTTGGGAAATCTAGTCGATAAATACGGGAATGGGAAGATCACCTGGTAACCTGACGATGACCGCAACACAAGCGTGCACCAGCCCATGAGGAACAGATAAGGTACAAAAATGTTGGAAGGGGCAGCGGCAATTGATGACATTGCATATCGACATTCATGCTGTAATAACCAAGAAATGAAATGTAAACAGCGCGGTCATAAATGAAATTGTTCATCATATGTGAGTGGATTGACTGTAGCCATGCGCCGTGAGGCATGTGAACTGATACGGCTCTTGCATATATGCATCTATCGGAGGAATTTATGACCATGAACAAGTCGACGAAGTGTCCTTATCGTCGAAACAGATCCTGTAAAGGAAGCGGGGGAGGCGAGTGGCGTAGCGAAGGGTCACTGACACCGAGAGACTGCGGCCCCTGACCCAACCATTTCGGGCGCCAACGCCCGCGGTGTCCCGGAGATTGGCTCCCGCATGGTAAGAGACTGCGCAGCAAGCGCCTTTTCCTAGCGGTTACTAGCCCGTGATGTGGCTGGTCGGCTTGTACAGTATCGTTGTGACATACTGCGCAAGGTTGAGTCTATACTCTGAAAAAATGTGGTGGAATTTGGCGGAGATCTTACCTTTCGTTTGTATCTGGTTGTCACACTGGTCGCCAGAACGCCATTTTTGATGCTACTCGTTGCGAGATGATTGAGTACCGTATGATTAGGATAGTTGAGAACACTGCTGTCATCTTTCATCGGCGTCGTGCCGTTCAGGATCGATTTACCCAAGAAAAGTGGAAGACTTGGGGGCGTAGGAGTATCACCAATCACATTAGCGGCTTGCTGGTATTCTGGACTGTCTTCATCCTTGTCAAGATCGACAAGAAATTGGGGGATAATAGTCTGGAAGTCACCCAAGGGAATCTCCTCTGGTTCTTCCTTGTCCGACTGATCTTCGACATCGGCTCCATTGCGGTCGTCCCCAGTAAAATTGGGAATAACCTGGGGAGGATGAACGCCTGAAGGAACTGCACTTTTGTTCGTTCTATCACTCCCCCTGCGCGATCGGTTGACGTCGTCCGCGCTGACCTCAATGTAGTTGACAAGATGATTCGTAAAATCGACTGCAGTCGGCAGATTATCTGAAGCCCGCATTTCCCCATCCACAATAAACTTCAGATGGTGTGTACCAGGACGGAGATTTAACGTTGTGGACATGATCCCTGGATTACTTTCACTGTTCACAATCATCGATTAGCACTCGTGCCATCATCTTGTTGGACCAGACAGCGAGAAGTTGCATGCTGGACTGGAGGGCGAGAAAGAAGAGGAGAGTGGTCGAAGACAAAAACAATGAAAGGCGTTGTTTAGCCCTCATGATGGTTTCGCAAGCCCATGCACAAAGAGGACAGATTGAGACGCAGCAGTAAGTGTGGAGGGTTACATACTTTCTGTGCAGACGATATTTCTTTTCCCAATTCACAAAGGTTCCAGTAACGTATACTTTTTCTCCGGGGCCATTCCATTCGATAAATGTTGGTACAGCCCTGCCTACACCGCTCGGGGTATATGGTTCGAGCTCGTCAAGCGTCTCCTCATCGTCAACTGCAGTGTTGGTGATGCCTGCATTGTCTTGATTTGCTTGTTCGCCCAATGGACGGTCGCTCGAGACAAAGCCGATATGTGAGTCCTCTGGTCCGATGATCGGTGAACCTGGAGTAGCCGTCGCATCGCCGATGGGTAGGGGCATCCGAGGCGGACGTTGAAGGTGGGTGGATGCACTATAATATGTGTTAAGAGGTGGGCCAGATGGTGCTACAGACGCATCATTTCTGGCAGCAGACCGAGAAACTGGTACTTGCACAGGATTCGAAGGATCCGGTGAGTGGATATCCCTGTAGTGAGGCTCTGCCTTCTTTGCATCATGTCGGTCCTGTCGCTCGGAATTACCCTTAGAAGAGTCTGTAATATTGCGCGATTGAAGGCGCTGCTGAACTGGAGTTTGATGTGCTGGGGCCGACTGTCCTGTTGCTGTCTCGATAGACGCCGAGGGGTCGGCCGCAGTTGCCTTTGCTGCTCCGGAGATCGCGTTGGTTGACGGCCGGCGATTCACCTTCTTATCGCCTGCGGGAGCCGATAAATTCGATGAGGCCGAACTTGGCGGAGCATCTCCGGAAGGGCCCTTTGAAGGATTGTTGCCCATCTGGGGCGAATGTGTGTCTGAGACGACCGGTGTGCACGGGGAATAAATGAGGGGGAGGGACAAGAAGTGACCACCGTATGTTAGGATGCCAGCATCAGCGCGCCAGCCTCCAGGGGCTGTACCGAGGGCCAAGCGCAAAGTGGATGAGCAATGATGCAAAATAAATGAGTTGGATGCGAATGAGATTCACAGTAAGTGTTTCAGGTAGACATGTAGGCAATCGAATCGTACTACGATTCACTCTGTCAACGGATCATCGGTATCTCACAGCATTTGATGATGTCGACGTTGTTCCGGGACTTGCCAAAAGCGTCCATTTAGGGTATAGGGTTTGATTCTCCAGCTCTGGGGTTGTTTTGTATTGGTAAGGTGCCGATGCCGCTTTAGGATAGGTAACAGGCCAAATTACTAAACTAAAATTAATTCGGTTTAGCGCCAACGCAGAGAGCTGAGGCGGGTCTTCGGCTCCACTGGATCTCTATCTACCGACATCATACTCCATTCCTGGCAGTAGTAGAACTTCAAGAACCTGTACCTTCATATTTCGTGGTCAGGTTGGGGTTGGGACATCGCAGTCGATAAACGTCCATCCCCTCATTGAGTTCAAGGATTAGTCAGCCTACTATTGCACCTCCGTTGTCCGTCATATATTAAAGGAATGCGACTGTAGTCCAAGTGTTGTATTTCAATGGCATGGGCTTCGGCAGTTGCAACTTTGCTTTACTCTATCATATACCCCTTGACATTTTTGGCATATTGTGTGTTTGGACTGTTAAATCTCTTGGTCACCCCACTGTGGAAACTGGGACTTGGTGTCTTAAACCTTGTCCTCCTCCCTCTCAGGATTCTTGCTAAATTTGAGGTATGGACGTGTTGAAAATTCCTTTACGAGCTCTTGTATCCATACACTGCACGCCGCTACATTTGGGTATTAGAGCGAGACGAGACTGACATGTGTCGCAGGCCGTGCTGCTATTCTTCGCGACGGCTCTAATTATCGGGTTGATTCTCGGCACTGTAGTGCATCTGTCCAGTACATTTGTCATCGAGACACTTAACGAGTCATTGGGATTCTCTGAAAATCCACCGGGTCGTGAAGTCTCAAAGACTCGGCCACGTCGGTCCGCCGACGTAGTCCGGAAGCTTCCATTTGCGGCAAGACCAAGATCACCCAGGGACATTCTTGTGAAATGGCCTGACACGAGAGATGTCAAAGCTCGCAGTGACAAGGGAGGGTTACTCTCTTCCTCGATTTTAGAAGAGGAGGAATTCAGCCATGATTCTACTTAGCAGGCTGAATGTTCCGCCAAGGCGTGTGGAACCTCGGTCTGTTAGCCCATAGAACCTTATGAGAAGATTATGATTGAAGATGAGGAAAGGTCGAAACAAAACCAATTGCAGTATGGAAGTATCTATATGGCATCGAACCCAATGTCCATGTTGGACCCTGTCAACTGAGGCGGTTCGGGGAGGCATCCTGGTTAATCGCGAGCAGGGGCCATAAGAGGGTAGATTCACCGGTCTATGGATTGTATGTACATTAGCCAGCATATAAAATGAACTAACTGCCAGTGCAGACGGATCTCCAAAAATAGCGCACAAAAGCAACAAGAGCAACGACTCGTGTGTTGAACGTTAATACGCCGAAGGCGCATTTCACCCAACACAACCATAGATGCGACGAACCTGAGATATGCTCCCAGATCAGACCTAACAATTCGAGTAGGACCATTTGCAGTCCAGGACGTAACACGAATCCTCATCTGTCCAAGTGACAGCATACCATTTAGTAAGCCACTACGACTCCGGCCGTGGTTGATGGAGAAACCGCTAGTCTACTTCGCTGTTTCACTTAGACGGTTAATGCTCAATGAGAGAAACAGGATACTATGCCCGTTACAGGGCAACGGCTTGCGTCATGGTTTTGTTGGATGCTCTGCCAATAATAGTCGCGGATACCTCGGATGTGTGCCTGTCCCAGGGCAATCTGAAGCTGAAGGCTGGGACAGGTCTGCCATTCGCAGTTGTGACCATATCAACGCCCCCAAATGTCCCAGGATTGGATGTCTTTTGATGCTGACACGGTTATATGAGCCTCGTAAAGCAGAAGGACTACTGCATGGGGACGATCGGGGAGTTCCCGTTGTAGCCTCCCAAGATATGGTAGTTAGCGACGGAGAGAGCTCTGTTGACCCGTTGCTTTTGAGTTATCTGCGAGAGTCCTGACCTCCATTGGAAAGGGCAAAGGACTAAGCCATCGATGTTCAGAGATCTCGACTCTCTTATCGCGCTTGTCCTCCTTGTGTGGCCACAGTACCGAATTTTGGGTCACAGCACTAATACGCCTGCGTATGTCAGAGACGCATTGAGAAGTGACGTTATTACCTTTCGGACTGTGGACGAAGAGCCTCGACGACGGCGGTTCCTTCGCCTGCTTTTCGAGATGACTGGCAGACTGCTGTGACTCTTGTCCAGGGGCTGCACCTAGTGACAAGGGTTATACCACGGAGAAAGTTGTCAGTCGAATGGAATCGTGTTGACAGGGTAATTCGACTCAATCGCTGCGGGGAACTCCATTTGACGCGCTGACATTAAAGTGGTCTGTCTGAAAGAGAGATGTTAGCATAACTGCAAATATGTCGACAGAGACAACGAGACAGACGCTGAGGAGGAGCTTGTTATAAACAGGCAATTCTAAGAATATTGAGCCCAGTATGAGAAGCAATAATCTTGGTTTTGTCAAAGAGTTGCATTGTGAATTTCTATCAAACGACAGTCAAGACAATACTAATGCCCGACATATCAGGTAAACTATCAACAAGCATGTAGACGCAGTCCAACAAACACCATAATGATGTCCATCCTGCGATCCACCCCAACAAGATATGACAGCAGACTAGACGCAGGAGTTAACATGTCAGAAACAATAGTAAGAAACTCAAAAACCGCTGGAGTACTCGGACAGCCGCACAGACTCGGCGGAGAAATTCAATCTACCCCGGACTCTGGTAAAGAATCGAAGTTAATGGTGGATGAAAGTTAAAAAGCGAGGAAGTAGATCCATAGAGTCTGAGAATGATAGCACGCCTTGACTAGTCTATCAACTGAACCTTGCGTTGTTTAAGCAGGGAGGGAAGCAAGTATGCACACACTCTTGAGAACAGGCCATGGATGATGTAATTCCTTTATCCCTTATGAGAGATTAGATGGTAGATGTTGATCCATCGGAGGCAAGAATGTTCTTGACAGATTGTACGACATTGTTGACAGCTGGAAAGTTTCGAAACCCTTGCATTTCTTCATGCCCAAAATCTGGATAACAAACTTTGGTCATCGAAATTAGTGCAGAGGCTTATTTAGGCCGGCTGAGGATCAGGGCCCAGAAATAGTGAGTTTACATGATTACATCTGGGAGGTATTAGCAAAGTCTATTTCTGATGAAAAACTGGGTCGTCTGTAATTTTCAAAGCTTGCACTACTTCTCCCTGCCTGACCTGGATGGAAGTACTGTGTTCACTTGGATAGATGATACTAAGAGGATGGACTAGGAGTACGCCGTCTGCTCTCCTAGGAGACAATACAAGGCAACAAGTAGATTGCCTGTAGATAACAACTAACACACAACAAGTAATAGCAACAGTCACAACTGCAGTCCCCCATACTCAGATATGATTGATGGATGAGGCCCCCACTCTAGCCGCGCTGCAATTTCATCATCCCACAGGAGCAATGTAGATCTGCATTCAAGGAGTCAAATATGTGCAAATGTCTTCAGTAAAATGCCCCATTCCTGTCGGAAATAATTGCCTAATCAATCGCGTGGTACTGGGCCTATGATAAGGGCTGCAGCACTTACTCCTTATTGTACACTTTACTTCTTACGCGGTACTGCGTAGTCAGAATTGCTGTGTAGAATGTAGGATTTTGGACCCTACAGGCCTAAGCTGTTCATGTCCAGCTCTTAAGCCTCCTGACTAACTGGAGGACTAGTACTAGTTAGTGATAGACATGGTCAATTCGCATAAGGCACCAAATGGGCACTAAAGAGTCCCCGTAAACTAACCAAGAACGGGCATAGCTTTCCCCCAGGGCGCTCTCGACTTCCAAGTTCCTGCCCCTCCTTGATGGATCATCACCAAGAATTACACCGAGAATACCCCAGCTAGCAGAAATCGAGGCTATGAAGGATCAAGAGGCAAAAATCGGACCGACAGGATTCTGAAGCCATAGGAGGCTGAGCGTATTAGTGCTGGAATGACGCGAAATGATGGTACGACTACAGCACTGACCTCGTCGGACAGAGAGATTATTGCTTGAATGCGAGTAGGCTAAACTAGTCCTCCGTATCTTGATGCCCCATGTCGAAGAAGTTTCCTCAAGCAGTAAAGTGGAGGATGAGACACGCGCAGACGCCAAAGCCACGTTTTTTAATTTATTTTTTCCTAGTATAATTTTCTCCAGGTCTCCTTGGCCAATTTCTATTCCGCCATCTGAAACTAGATCCCTGTTGTGTGGCAGAGGGTTGTAAATAGCGCCATTCTCCGATCTGTCTTACCCTGTACTAATAATACCACCATAATATGCAATATTATCATGATCAGAGACATGGGCCGCGGCGATCAACATGGTTTCGAAATCCGAGGCCAAACTGCCAAACAAGTAGGCCGGGTGGGGGATAGCAAATCAGCGAATAAAAAGGAAGAGAAAAGAAAGGAGGCTACCACCACAGACCATGGCCATGCAAGGGGTCAGTTAGTACAGAGTAGTGGACTCGAAAATGACCTTATGGGGGGAACAATCTAGAAGATTTTTTATTTCAGGAATTCCAACTGCCATGCGATCCGGCTGATTGTCTCAAGGGTCGGGATTCGCTTAAGAACGCGCTGATTGGTGTTGAGCATTCTAGCAGGGCGATTGTCTAGATCAATGGCGCATGGTTCACGATGGAGTACATCAGCAGTCTCTCAGTCACTCTAGCATAGATGGAGTAGCTACAGACG